TGTTTTTGGCTCTATATCATCTCACCCCGAGATTTTCCTGACTCGCTCTTCCATAATCGTGAGGGTCTGGGCCGACACCCCCCGAGTCATTCCATATGGCTTTTATAGGAGAGGCCAGATTCCCAGATTCCCTCCTCTCATCACTGCCCCCTGGTGGCTCACCCGCTTTCCATCGAATCCTGGCTGCCTAGTTACACCCACTTTGCTGAGGAGCAAACACTTGGCCGTACAGTAAGTCGAGGGAGTTAGGACCCCCCAAAAGATCCAGCCAGGACCCCGAAACACCAAGGCAGAACGGAGGCTGAAAACAGAAGAAAGGAGTTGGGACCAGCTTAGCTGAAGGGCTGTCTGAGGGGGAATTGGTTAAGTGAGCGACAGGAAATACGAGCTGCGCGAACTGTTTGCAGACGTGGGCGGGGCGTCTCAGAAGCTTGGGTATGTGTGACAATGAGGAGAGTCTTTATTTATAACAAGAAGGGGGAGTGCTTTCTTTTTAACTCTAAATGGAGCCCCCCAAAAAGCAAGGAGGACAATGGGGTACAGTTTCCAGGATGCTGCAGAGGAGGGTGAGGCTGGGGGCCACGAGAGTCTTTCGCTGTAGGACACACAAACCCCACAGACGCACCCATCTCGTGCGCAGAAGAGGCGCCAGCGATCACGGTCGACAAGGATTCGTTCAAAGGCTTTAGCTATGTCAGCAGAAGAGTGACCGAAGAACAGCACTTCCTACACCAGTGTCTCCCCGTCACCACACGGGGGAACTGGCTTGTAAACTGTGGTTCGGACTGAAGAGCGCCGCCTACTAGTCCACTACCACCACTTACGACAGCTACCTGTGTTTTCTGAATCTCCATCCCAGGACTGAGCAGACCCGTGTAAGTCCTGCACTGTAAAGACTCCTGTATCCTCTGCAAATCCGACACGTTTTCACTACAAAAACTGAAGTCAAGTTGGTATCAGGCGAGAGCTGAGCTCTCAATGACGGACTATGAATAAATACATTTTTTTTTTATTTTAGCGAACTGCGCAAGCGAAGGACACCTCCAAGCCATCGAGACGCTGGACCTCAATGTCAACCACCACGTCACGGACGCGGGCTGGAGGGGCTTCTTCCTGGGGCTGGACCGCGTGCCCAGACTGAAGGCGCTCCACATGTCCCGGCTCTACAGCAGCAGCCTGAAGCCCCACGCCTCCACGGTCAGGGCCTTCGTGCAGTGCGTGGCCAGGCTGCCCGCCCTGACGACCATCGTCATGTACGGCTGGCTGCTGGACGCCCAGGACTTCGCCATGTTTGACCAGATGAAGGCGCGGCACCCCCAGGCCAAGTGTCTGAACATCAGCTGGCAGTGGGCGCTCCCTTTCGCACCACTCGTGCAGGCGGAGGCGGAGTAGGGCAGCCGGCCGGGGCAGTCGGGCTCCCAGGTCACAGTAACAACGAGGAGGGGCTCTGGGGAACCGGTTTTATAGAAAAGAAGTTGTGGAGCGGAGAGCGGCCATTCGTCTTGCAACAGAATTCCCATGATGCACGGCGTGAGAAGACAAGAGAACAATCTCGCTCGTCTTTCACCTTCAGGGCTTTGGACTGTGGGAGGAAACCGGGAGCACGCAGGGGGAACGTGCAAACTCCACACATACAGCATCCCAGGTCCGGAATTGAACCCAGGGATCCAGACTGCAAGGCCACCGTACCACTGTGCCGCCCGCTCATCTTATCGTACAGACAAATGAGATTTTTATGTTGAAACTCTTTTTGAGTGTTATACAATAAATTGTGAGCTCTGGGCACCTGCCCACTCTGTGAATTTAAGTGAATTATATCTGTGAATAAGTAAGTAAATTAGATCACTTTATTAGCCCTATACAATTCCTCGTATGAGGAATTCGTCTTTTCAAATACCCCAGCTTGCTCTCCATGAGACACACACACAGAAGCTGGGGTTCAGAGCGCAGGGTCAGACATTGTACAGCGCCCCTGGAGCAGGTGGGGTGAAGGGCCTTGCTCAGGGGCCCAACAGAGTAGGATTCCTCTGCCGGCCGCAGGATACAAACCGGCAACCTTCCAGCCACAGGCGCAGATCCTCAGCCACAGAGCCCCCATGGGTCAGATTGTTCACCTTAAGATGCTTTAGGAATGGACACTTCAGCGATAACTTCATTATTAAACTGAAGTGGTGCTGAAAGCCAAGGCAGTGGAGCTAGTGTCAGCTTCTACAGGTGCCCAGGAAACCAACAGCATCACAGATCTCTTTTTTCTTTGAAGTAGCTCAGTCTATTTGTTCCCCAAAGCGTGTAATTTGTATACTTTCACAACTCTTTGTGCTCAGAATCACCAGCAGTCCACTGATGGTATTGCCTGACACTCTGACTTCATCACCCAACGTTTTCGTTTTTTAAAAGAAAATGGCACCAACATTACATTTCTATTCCTTTTATTTTGTCTCACTTACAACACTTACAATTTTCTTGTCAATTATTAAAGTACCCAAAAGCCATAAAATAAAAACAGAAAGCAGTTTCTATAATATTTTATACAATGTAGTGCAGTTTTTTCCAATGATATTTTTCCCCCTGAAACAAGTCTAACAAAACGTCCCACAGGGGTCTGAGCAAAGTGTTTGCAACTGTAAACATACAGGCACTGTGCAGCTGCTCACCACGGTGAGCCACAACCTGCTCCGTGTGAAGGGAACCTCCCTTCTGCTGTGCCACTGGAGTCGAACTGGGAACACCCCGACGCCTGTTCACCGGGACTCACAACAGAGTCTAATGTGTGAATTTCCAGAGTCTGGAAAGTCCCTCAGCCTGTCTTTGTTTACTGTTGATGTAGGACTGAAAAATCAGCTTTTTAGTTTCAGCATTCTGGCGATGGGAGGTGGGGGGCAGGCCTTCCTGATGTTTTTGGAATAGATATCGAACGTCTAAAGATTAAAAACCCAACGTTCACCTCAGAAACCCTACTGGAAGTAAAACTTCACTACAGTAACACCCGCGCCAGTGACTGTTCATGGGCAGAGTTGGGAGTGAGAGTGCATGGATAAGCCTCTCTTTTAAAAACAGGGGGGTGTGACACATTGCTCCACAGGAGGGGGTCCCCAGATGGACACCGGGGTCAGATCCAATCCCTCCCTGAGTCAGGACATCGAAGAGCAGTGCCCTGACGTCTTGATTGGACAGCTGCGTTTGCCAGTACAGGCTGACAAGTTCAGCCCTGAACTATTGCTGGAAGAAAAACTCTGATGCTGGCTACAGCGTCACCCTGACAGTCCCTGTGGACACTGGACAGTGCTGTCCAGAGGCACTGGTGCTACTGCTCTACAGCACTGCCCTCCAACGGACAGGCTGAGACAGGACAGGACCTCAGCAAGTGCTGCGTACAAGAATAACCCAAGGCAGGAATCGATAGCTCACACCTGAATGACGTCCAGCGGGTTTATTGGATACCAGGCGAGATGAATCATGTGCTGACTAGTGGCGATGCAGTATTGAAAATTACATTCTCTTTCAGCCCTGCGCTTTACAGCAGCAGAACTCAGAAAAGTTCAGGTTCAACTAGGATGTGAAGTGAGGATTGTGATGAGCACAACGGGCACCTATCCCAGGAGGACTTGTGGCTCTCATGTCGTGCGTCTATCTGGCACAGCGCAAGAGGAAAGCAAAGCATGGCCAGTGCGTCTATCTGGCACAGCGCAAGAGGAAAGCATGGCCAGTGCGTCT